GCATGTCGTATGACTGAACAAATTTTCACCAGTTTTTAAAGAAATGATAGAAGAAAAGAGGTTTATAATTGCACAGCGGCTCAAAGTCATTGTCTTAACAGACGTGCTTGTTTAGAAGAACACACAAAGCGGAAAAACTTAAAACAAAAGATAACCTTTTTTCCGCGTTGCTTTAACTGCGTATTTGAATGAAAATTGAACAAGCCGATTTAATTGTCCTTCAGATCACAGGCACTGAGACCAATATTTCGCTGAAGCGATGAGATCCTTTCTTCTCGTAGTTTGCTGCATTTTGGCTTTAAGCTGCAGTAATTTATCGGCTCTGGGAAAACAAGTAAGCGATGAAGGTAAGTGCTATAAGGATTTATTCAATCTGTGTTTATAGTTTCTGATAGATTAAGCCAGAGGACAGTGCTATAAGTAGATAATGTCGCAGTTCTCTGTCACCTCTATGATAAGTTACGTGCTGACTGAGCAGTTAGTTAGTTAACAAGCAATAAGTTGAAATTAGCAAAAAGTATTTCAGCTTACTAACGGGTAAAGAAACCCGCTCTTTGAATGTGAAATTGTTTAAAAGTTTTCAAAGAGTGAAAATGGTTCCTTGATCAACCGGGCGACTACCTGTAACATTAAGTACAGTTAATAATCGTTGTAGAACTCATTTTAATATTGTTCAAATCTGGCTATTAAATGCCCAAAACAGAGCTGCAAGTTTCAAATGCATTTGTAGCGGTATTGTGATGGGAATCAACAGAGCAAAATAATTTATGCATTTCCTCTCCGCATTTGAAAGGCACGCAGGTGAGCAAACCTTACAATTTCACATCTGAGTTTCTCGTAAACAATGGGTCCGTTACGCCTTTCCAACGTTACTGAATCGAAATGTATTTTGAATCTACTCAGAAAATTACTTTTTGGAAGAACTGTTGGAACCACCGCCTCTGAAAAAAGGGCACAGGAAGCGTTAACTGTTGGCATTTCTAGTTTTGAGATAGTTGAACAGTTTGTTTTACAAGTTAGCTTAACTGTATCAAGATGATGCAATGTGCAAGATATATTATTAAAACAAGGGTTTTAAACTGCCAGAGAACAGCGAACAACAGTTTAACATTTAACGAATTGACGTCAGTTCTCTCATGCGTATGTCCTGTTATTGATCATGAATTTAGTCATAATATTGTCAAAGTAGCTGTGGATCCACGAGGCGATAGCCGAGTGGATCCGCAAATATTATAAATTCATATGTCTTCGTGTCCGCTTAGTGACAGTGAAACTCTGAACGATTTTTGATCCGACATTTCTTTTCTTTTCGAACCAGTTGTAATTACTTGATATGACACTCTCGCCGTTAGCTTTTGTTTTTACAATGTTCTACTAAAAATTGCCGTTAGAATTTCCCGTGTAATATGTGTGATACCAGTGAAGTGATAACATGAACAAACCTTTCACTCTTTGACGCCCGAGGAGCCTCATACGGCCACTTCATGGTCTTGCCATTTGCACCACTTGTGGCGTCATCAATTTAAATGTCACTAGATATTCTTGATAAGCAGATGGTAGAGCTAGAATAGATCCATCCGCGCAACAGTCGGTTTTGGATATCGACGGCATTCTGTCGTAGCAAATTGAAAAACAACGTTATCAGTTTTGGTGCAAAAATGGTGGTAAAATGGCCCATTAATTGATCCAGACTTTGCCCATAATTAACACCCGACTCTTTACGGCAACCAGAAAGAATATGAAACGAAAAAGGTAGCGAGAGTAAAAGGACCGAGAAAAATGAAAGGAAAAGGGCAAATGAAACAGTGGCAAAATAGCATGACGCATTTGACCAGCTCTTTCTTCCGGTGCATTACCCAGTCTGCAGTCCTTATATAAAGTTTTCTGTCTGATACGCTTACACAAAAGTTTCACTTTCTTGGTCTTTCGCTACAGTCCTTGCTTGTAGCCTTCTTCCTCTTTGACGTCTTATGCTTGCCACTATCAGCATCGGCCTCCGTTCGTATTGCTGGGCTGTTGCCAACGTCTATTAATTGTTCAAGTAAATCCACGTGCTTCCTAGGACCATCAAAAATATAAACACACGGTATTTCCATACAAAGGCCTCCACCCCGATTAACTGCTTTTCCACATACTTCAACTGATCCTCGATTAGTAGGCTTTGAAATA